TTTTCCAGTCTCCTGGTTGCCTGTTGTCCGTGAACTTGTGGGCCTGGGCCTGACCCTCTTGTGCCTTTGTCTTGCTACTTCATTGTCTCTGGTTACCATAGCAATTGGTTGGATAGTTCATCGACCAATTCTGGGCGTGACATTACTGGTAGTAGCCGCCGCTGTCCCAATACTGCTGTCCAGACGACGTGCACAAGCTTTCAATCAAGGAAACACTAAAAAGTTTCTTTAAATGTGAACGTTAGGGTAGTCATTTGTAGTATCATTTGTGGCGTTGTTAGTCACTGAACTGGGGGGTATTATTTTGAGGACTATAGACAGTGTGACTTCAAAATGTAAAATTTCTGTATTGGTGTTCATTATTCAGACCTACACACTTTAGGCCACACTAGTGTGAAAATGATAGAAAGTCACATTTAGATTCAATGTTTTGGAATTTTATAATATGATGTCCCTGCTTAAGTTAAGTGTGTAATGCAATGTGTCTCCTTCCTTGATCGTAAAATAAAGGTTTGGAGAAATAGCAAAACTTGTAAGCTCTACCTCAGCCAACATCCAGTTTACAGTGGAAATATAGATCAGCCAGTGTCTTGCTAGCATTTTTAGACCAGTCAGTTGATTTGTTATTTTAAATGATTACTTTTCCTGGACTGTATAGTGACTTAAGGCCACATTGTAAGCGTGACATGCAACTAATTCAATTTATTACGATGCCCTAGCCCTTAAAATTCAATGATGAAAACTGGAAAGGTTTGGCTTATAAATAATGTCAACATCGATATTGGCATATTCATCCTAAGGTAAAAACATCTTTTCAAAAGAAAGCGATAAGACCCCATTGTCATTCCTCAAGGTGGGTAGGTGAAGTGTTAGCCTATCTACCCTGAGAGAGACAACCTCCTAATTCTGTTACCAGTATAAAGGAAAAGGCCACAGACAAAAGAAGCTCCTGACTGTTTAATTCTCCTTGCCAGCACCATAGAAATGTATAAAGAACAGTAAGGAGAATATGCATACTGATCTAAGGGTGGGAAGGTTTAAAGAACTGCTGCAATTTTTATTCTTCTGGGGATACCTCCTTGATTTGCATCCTACACATCTGTTCTTTTCATGTTACTATTCTTCAGCCAAGGGTGGCTCATTAATTCAACCATTTCTTTAGAAGCTGCGAATCAAGTCTACCTGTCTATCTACATCATTTGCGGCACATAGCACTTTTATCACAGAACCAGAACAACAAGTTGGTTCTACATACAGTACAAAGATAGATAAAATA